ATTGAAGGAAAAAAGAAAAAAGAAATGGGAATGAATGGAAAGATGGTATGAAAGAGTTTGAACAAGGAAGTCCATTAGAAACTTTTTATTCTAAAGAAATAGAATCTAGTCAGAATGACTGGGAACTTGCAGGACATCTTGCAAACTATTGTGTCCCTTATCTCAAACAAGAGTTGATTAAAACTATAGAAGAAGAAATTATTGAAAATAAAGGTGGAGAAAAATGGGAGGAAATGAAAACAACAATTTCACAAATGAAAATGAGTGAAAAAGTTGATATTTGTCAGGCAATTTATAGCAGGATTGAAGGGATGATGGGATTAGAAGATAAGAGATGGCTTAATTCAAAACAAAGAATGGTTGTTAATGAGGGAATTAATGGGTATGTCATTGGAATGATGTGTTCAAAAATAAAAGAAAATCAACTTATCAGTGAACAAGATATCATATCATTAAGCAAAGTAGTAGGAATGAAAGAGATTGAAACTCTCATTTCCATCTTAATTCGAAAAAGAAGTACAACAATTAATATCAGTAAGTTAATTGAATCAACTATGTTAATGGAAAATAATATTGGAAAGAGATTAAGACAACTAGCTATTGAATGGTTAAACTCAGAGAAAAGATGGGATGATATTGAAAATTTTATTTATCTTGGGAATGATTTAATCTCCTCAATCAATAAGACTAAAACTAGAAATGATACTCTTCCAAAACCACCAACAAATTTAGATGAATATCATCGTCATATCACTGATCGTATTGAAGAAATAAAAAGTATACGTAGTAGTGTTATTGGAAATATTAATTGGGAAGAGGTAGGTGATGATAAGATAAAAGAGATATGGGAGAATGATATGAATGGAATTAAAGAACTTATCAAAGAACCATATGATGGAATTGAAGTGTTTGTAGAAAAGAATATTGTCAATGTTGATGACCCAACAATAGTAATGATGTGTCTTTGGATAATGATGCTCAAACAGAAAAATATTGGTTCTTCCAATATTCGAAAAATTGAAGAAAATGAAGTGAACAATTCTCATAATGGTATTAAGTGGGATCAAATTAATGAATTTAGTATAATTCTTGACCATCTAATAACTGTTGGATCCTTTACAATTAAATGTACAACATTAGAAGGAATTGAACAAATGTTTAATTGGACAAATATGACAAGCACAAAA